TTTTTTAACTTTTGTTATCTCAATATATTGAAAAATAACTAATTTTTCTGATTGCTTATGAAGTTGAATGTTTTTATGTTTATTTTTTCTATATAAAATATTTTACATTCTTGGTCCAATTTTTGTTTCTAAGCTCTTTTACTACATATCTCAAACTTTTTGTTGTATTAAAACATATTTTCCTTAACTTTTGTTTTTTATTTACGATATCTAATTTTGTGTACATAAGTTTTACTTTTTTTTGTTTTGGTGGTCCTGGGGTTTGAACTCAGGGCCTCACACTTGCTTGCTAGGCAGGCATTCTACCACTTGAACCACTCCGCCAGCTCCAGGAGTTTCATGTTTTTAATGTAGTTTGATTTTTCCCTCCCACAGCCCCTGGGTTTTGTGTCTTGCTTAGGAATGTCTTCCTCACCCCACAGTCACCAAACATTATTTTCCTATATATTCTCCTAGTTCTTCCATGCTTAATTCATTTGAGTCTTCTTATTCATGATATAAAATAAAATGCTCTCCACGTAATCAATCATTTAATCACTTACCATATAGTACAGTCTTTCCCTTCTTGTGATGCTGTTTTTCAGCACCAAATTTCTGTACATATATGCATTTCTCTATTCCTGGGTTCTTTGTTTTGTGCCTTTGTTTCTGTGCCAATAGCACATTTATCCTGGCTCTCCAATTTGCTTTGATATCTATTTGAATTTTTTATGCATAATCTTCCAGATGAATATTATAAAAACTTGGTGCATCCATTTAAACAGTTTGGGTTAAGCATCGGTGTCTCACACCTGTGTAACCCTAGATACTCTGGAGGCAGAGATCAGGAGGACCACGGCTCAAGGTCAGCTCAGGCAAAAAGTAAACCCTATTGTAAAAACACCCAACACACACACACACAAGAAGACTGAGTGGCTTAAGTAGTAGAGCTGCTTAGCAAATACGAGGCCCTGAGTTCAAATCCCAGTATTGCCAAAATTAAAAATTGTATGAAATTGCTTTGAATTTATAAATTCAGTAGAATTGATATATTAAATATGTTGGGTGCTTTAATAGAGACATGGCATATCTCTCCACTTTTCGATCCTCTTTTGTACCCTTTAGCATAGATTATTCAGACAGGCCTTATTCTCTCATTAACCTCTAGATTTTCAATTCTCATGCCTATTGTGAATGGTGACCTATTAACCCCACACATTTTCTAACTGGTTAATACTGGTGCACACAAAAACTTTGTAGATATTGGTGTGCTGGCATGCACTGCCTCCCTACTAAGCTTTCTCAATGGCTGGAATAGCAACCAATAGGCTGCTTGGCATCCTTACCATCCCTTGATATCGTACTTCTTTTAGCCACTCTAGTAAGAGCACAGAGAGTTTTTTGAGATGTGCTAACTTCATTATAATTGGTTTGTATACTTTTCCTTACATTTCTAAATTTTCACTTTATAATTTTGAGATGAACATTTCATTTCAAATGAAAAATGGCATATATTAAGAAATTTTTCTGCAACACCATAGTTAAAAATTCTTCTTTGACCTCTAATTGTTTTCACCTTGGGTTCTATTTAGTCTGAAGTTAACATAATCACATTTACCTTTTCCAGCATCTGATATATTTTTGTACCCGTTTATAATCTACAAGTATTTTAGGTTTGTTTTATGCAAATAGTTCATACTGGATTTCTATCTTCACTTAAGCTTAAAGATTCCAGAATGTAATCTATTCACACATATTGTGACAAAACAATCTGGTCTTCTACTTATGTTTTTTTTTTTTCTTTTTCTTTCCTGCCTTTTGGTGGATTTTAAAATTAATCCCGTTTCTTGGTAGTCTGGTAGCCATTAAAGGTGTTAACATATATTTAGCTCTTTCTCTTGACACATGGAAGTCTGTACTTTACTGCTCTGTGAAACTCAAGGATGACCATGTGGCTTTCTTTGGCCAATGAGTGGCACATGTCATGTCTAGACAGAAGCTTTGAAGTCACATGCATCGTGTGTCACACACACCTTCTTCCCTTGGATGCCACAATCAACAATGTCCCAAACAGTAATGTTCCACCAGCCTGGCTCCCAGTTGGACGGTGATACTGAGCAGGATTTAGCCAACCTGCTAAGGCATATAGCATGAGCACAGATCGACCTACACTGGGGTTGTTACTACAGCATCACCTATGATCTTTACTGGTACACCCTGTATTTTTCTACCAACAGCTAGAATTAAACATCATCTATCTTTCCCTTGAATATGAACATATTTTCACTTACTATATCCTGCCATCTCCATCCACATTAAACCCTAAAATTTTATTTGAACTTTTTGCTTGCGCATTTTTAGATTTCTTTGAATTTGCCAAAACCTCTGGTGACTATCAAGGGGACTGGCAGGTTACAAAGACAGAGAACGTTTCCTGATATTCTTGTTCATCAGCTTGATTTGAAAATCTTTTTTCATGAATTTATTGTCCAGATTGCTTAGTAACTCTTAGAGAAAGATTTCTTCTAAGGAATTTAGTTGCTGATAAAAAGCGTAGTATCAGTCTATTTGCACTGCCTCATTAATTCAACAAATATATGTGCAGTTACTATAAGCCTTTATGTTACTGTTTTTCTTCAGACGTAATGATTCTTGGATGTCCATATTTATAGATGAAGGACCAAGATTAAAATGTGAAATGATTTTCTTTGGTCAATGAGAATTCTGGTCTGCTTTCAATGAATACAAATTCTGATTATAGGCACCTCTGGTGATTATAAAAGGGATGGCAGAGAGAGAGAGAGACAGACAGAAAGAGAGAGAGAGAGAGGTGTAGGTGGCTTAGCTTAACTTCAGTTCCTCCTGTGGCCATTTTGAATAATGCCTGTATTCTCCAATGCCAAGGTCACCCATGTGAGAATTTCCATTTAGGCAGCTGCCTTCTTAGTCTGTGGCAAACTTCAGAATTAGATGCTCCAGAGATGAGTGGAATGGCTTAGCTCTCCCACCACTTAATTAACTCGCCCTTCAATAATTTGCTTTTTATCTTCTAAAAATCCCATATTTTCTGGTTCTCCAACTCTGCTATTAATTATTATTATTATTTTAAAATATTTCTGCAGTCATTTCAATGGGATTCTGGAAGAGTAAAAGAATGTGTTAAGTCATCCACGTTGTAAGTTCCAGCATGTGACGTATAGTCAGCATTAAAAAAAAAAACAACCATCCCCTATCTTGTTGGTCCTGTGAAAACTGAGTGTTACTGTCTTTAGATTGGAAGTTATTCTGTTAATACCCATTTGAAATTAGACTAACAGATTAATGGATAATGGACTGGACAGAGGTTTGAACTCAGGGCTTCACATCTGCTAGGTAGGTACTCTACAACTTGGAACCATGCCGTCGGCCCCTTTTTGCATTGAGTATTTTTGAGATAGGGACTTGCTTTCTTGATCTGGCCTTGAACCATGATCCTTCTGATCTCTGCCTGCCTTCCGAATAGCTAAGATTACGGGTGAGTCACCAATGTCCAGTTAAGCCAAAGTAATTTTTGACCACTAATAATTATGGGTAGATTGAAGGCAGAATGACAAGTCTTTGTTACAGTCACATCTGACACTGTATTAACAACAGGGTTCTGTTTGTATACAAAGTGCATACAGCACACAATAATTTCTCCACAAGGTGCATGCTTGTGATCTTCTCTAACTCAAATGGAATACTGCATTCCAGTTAAGTGATATTTGAAGAGCTAAATTGTGCATATTAAGCAGCAAAATCTTCATCTATTTAGAATTTATGTTTTTCCTTTGTTGTGGTACTAGGAATTCAATCCAAGGTCTTACTTACACTTGCTAAGCAAGCCCCATGCCTGTTTTTTTTTTTTTTTTTTTTTTGAGACAGGGTCTTGCTAAGTAGTCCAGGTTGACCCTGAACTTGCTATCTAGGTCAGGCTGCTCTTTGACTTATAATCCTCTTGCCTCAGACTCACACTATTATACCTGGCCCCATATTTATAATTCTTATTGGTATAGTTTTAAATGATAAAACGTAAAAACTGAAATCATTTTAAAATTATGGCAAATATTTGGATGCCTTAAAAAAAAAATCTGTGGTCAAAGAAAACCAAGGCTTTTGTATCTCCCTCTACACTTCGCCAGTATCCCTACCTCTAACAGACATAATCATTTTATATATTATGCAATGACCCTCTCTCTGATTTCATTATTCTTCTATTTGTTCCCCAGATTCTCTTCAGTTATAACTAATGTACACATCCTGCACTGATGACTGAGGGTGAGCCACCTCAAATCCACTGAGAAGTCACGGTCACATACTCATCTGTTCAGTTTCTTTTCTTTTAGTCTTGAGAGTATTCACACTTCATGCTCCCACCTTGCCTGATCCTGCTGCACACAGGAGCTTCTTTTTTTAATTGGTTCCTTTCTTCCTTTCAAAATTTAAGCTTTTAGTCTAAAAAACTTTTCTTTAGCTGTTTCCTTATCCAAAGGTCTTCAAAGAGTAACCTACACGGTCTGTCTTCACTTTTGCCTCAAAGCAGTCCTCTCCCAATCATGGAACTGAACGACCCTGAGGTAATCTGGGGTCTCAATGCCAAAATCCAACAAACATTCTTTGCACCATGACACTGTATTCTACTTCTTCCTTCTTGAAACTATCACTTCTCCCTTCCTTGCTCATCCCTTTCTAGTCCCCTTCTCCTGCTGTTTTCTTCCTCCACACATATTAGCTCCAACTAGGGTAAAAGCTTTTTCTCTGCTGTGGAAAGCTATAATACCCAGAATAGTATTGTACAGATTCAATATAAATATTGTATCTCTGTAAATACTTGTTGAATGAATGGTGCAAAGTGTCAAAAGGAAATAACAAAAATAAAAAGCACAGATAAATCTTCCTAAAATGGTTTCCAATCCTGTATTTAAAGACACCATATGCAATAAAAACATAAGAAAATTTATTAAAATTTGAAGACAAAAAACATAATTTCAGAAGGATTAAACCTAGGTCAGGTGTGATAGAGAACAGATGCTTTCTTGAAATTCAAAATCAGATCCAAGAGTATCACTTTCAGAATTTTCTAGTGGATTGGGTTTACTTTTGTTTGTCTTGGATGAAACAGTCACTATTCTACTTTCTTTCTTGACAGAAATGTATTTTTTCAAAGATTCACTTTTAATTGGTTCATCATCCAAAGAACTATTTTCCCCAATGCCTTTCCTTTTCCAATTTCCAGGCTGTTTCTCAGCAGAGTGTTTTTTGGTATATTCACCTGTTTTGGTCATTTTCTCTGAAGATGATCTGCTATTTCTAGACAACTCTTCTTCTCTTTGATTTCCAGTTCCAGAAATCACACCTGCTAAAGGAGAGCATGTTCTAGCAATGAGTCCTTCAAAAGACTCCTGCTGCTGCTCAGGAGATGGGGCTGCCAGATTGTCTCTGGAATTCACTGAGGCCTCCTGGGGAACTGGGGCACTGAAGGAGTCGAGAGGCAAAGGAATTGTAGCATCACTTGTAATTTTCTGAAACTGGAAGGAAAAATACAACAGAAATTCAGTGATGAACAAAGATAACCACTGAAAAGAGCTCAGCTGGAGATATGGCTCAAGTGATAGAGCACTTGCTCAAAAAGCACAAGGCCCTGAGTTCAAACCCTAGTACTGCCAAAATCAATTAAATGAATAAATAAATATTAAAAAAAAAAAGAGTTCAAAGCTCCTATGTCACTCTATAATCTTACTAATAAGCAGTCAGCTGATTAGTCAGAAGATTTTTAGGGTCATTTTTTTCCTTAATTATGTACTTCCTTAGATATATTATATACAACACTTAGTTGTATTTAGAACTAGGTCTGCCGCATTTTTGGACTTTTATGTTTCCTGAAATTATGGTCCATTTCCTTTTCCCTCATTTAAAAAACAAAAACAAAACCTATTCACTAAGAAAATTAATTTCTTTTCTATCCTCCGTGCACATAGCAGTACCGGGTGCATGCCCTGAGTGAGTGCTCAAGCTGTCAGTTCCCGGGAGCAGTCTGAGACTAGCTGATGGGAGATGAGGCCCTAGGTAAGGCAGAGGAGAAACAGCAGAGAATTCCTGTGGCAGACAGGTTTTCCCTTTCATTCCTGTAACCAGCTAACTATAACATATTGTCTATTAGTTATGTTTGGAGTACTTATTTTTAAAAAATATCTGCATAATACTTGTACCTTCATTAGTGTTCCTTCATTGTAAGCTGACTGCATACAAATAGAAACCTAGATGAAATATGAATAGAATAGACATTTACAAAATTTTAAATTTGGAATATTTTCTCTAATCTTTCATTTCTTTCTTCACTGAGGATAATTTGCTTTAAACTATCCGAAGAACTTCCAGTTTTTATTTATCGTAACACAGTATCACAAAATGGGCTCAAATTTATTAATCTCAGACTTGGAATGGATCGCAAGAGGCTTTGGCTCCTAGGCACAGAATCTATTAGAGACAGATCATCATTATCACCTGTCTGACTCAGTAACTGCCTTTCTGCTAACCACTCTTGAATCACTGAGTTTTACTGGCTCCACTTACTTGGATATTTTGCATTTGTCCTAGGGCATTCTGCTTTGGATCTGGTTTTTCTCCTTCCTTTTCTTCTTTAGGTGGACTACTAATAGTAGAATTCATCTGGGGATGACCCAGTAAGTTAAAATCTGACTGATCTATACCAGCCATAGTGGCAAGCTGCCCAAGCCTACACAAGAGAAGGAAAGAAGGAAAAGGCGACGGTTATTACAATCACTTAAGCACAGTTTACATTTCTCCACACCTATAAGCATGTAATATTTGTATAAATGGATACTAAGATTCTAAAAGCTTAGAAGTCATTGTCCTACTCCAAAATACAACCTCCACCCTAATTCCTCAGGTCAACCCACATTCATGCTCTGGAACCACATCAGTTCTAATCCATCACTTGACTTTATTTCCTTACTGGACTCCCTTTTAAACATTTTCCTTCTCAGCCTCAACTTCTACCACACACCCAGTGCCTCTCACCTCCATCCTCACACATTTTACCACCTTTCTCTGAGCTTGTTCCATAGTGTCAGCCCATTCACCTATAAAACATCACTTCATCAACTACCTCCAAATCTCTTCTAGCAGCATACTTCGTGGCTGAGAACCACTGATCTCTGTCTATATCCATATCTACCTTGCAGATTAATAACCATTCTAATGTCTAGGGCAAAACTTAATTCGACTTTATTTAACAAGCAAAATGAATAAAGTCAAGAAAATTCTAATATATTCTGAGTATGTCCAATTAAAATTACCTTTAAATTAGTTTTTGGCAAGAACTATACTTACCAATTACTCTACCTACAGGTTACCTTTTTATGATGGATTTTCTACTAAGGCAAATTTGCTCTTTTGGATTGTTTTTAAAATTAATTTTCCATTAAAAAATTAAGTATATTACTTATAATTACACATTAAATATGGCTTATAGAAGCTATGAAAACTGTTCAAGCTACCTAGCAAACTACCATTAAAATCATGGAAGGAAGAATGCCCTATTGAGAATAAACTAACCCGGCATCTTTAAGGAGATCTAAGAAAGCATGGAACTTCTGAAAAGAATTCTCAATGCTGCCCAAAACTCCCTCATCATCCAGGATCATGCTTGTCAATGACTGTGCGTGAAGGGCTTCAGACAAAGAGAAATTTATATTTCTTAACTGGGCGTTTTCATGTTCCAGCTATAAAAGAAGATTGAAAACATGTGACAAAATTTTCTCATTGTCATCTAAAGGAAAGCTTTTGATCAACTAAAGTAAAATAAAGCATTTTAAAAAGGAATCTGTAATTAATCTAACTCTTTACCAGTAAAGACAATAACCATATCATATAACAATCTAAACCTGAAGATACTTAACAAAATTTCCTAATTTTAGCAAGCATAAAATTTAATGTACATGTTTTAAAGTCCTAAATCATACACAACTTATTAACTGTACAACTAACAATATCCACCCCTCTTGGGTTCTTGAAGCTATTGATCCCATGCACGTGCCTCCCTCTCACCATACATTCATCTAAAACCACACGTAAGCCACAATGTTTCTCAAGGCCACTTCAATCACCACGTACTTCTGCACGTACACTCACGCGCTCCTTACTTACTGAACGAGTACATGTCCCTCAATCCAACCCAGATACTTCCAAAAATTCCTCTTTAAACTTAGTAATAAATTGTACCCTTCTAGAACTATCTAGCTTTCATGCAATCTGTCTAGTTTAGTATTCAGAGTATAGCCTATCTTTCATTGCATTTTTACGTTTTCCATTATCTTACACTTTTTTATTCACTTTCCTACTTCAGTGTCACTAGACAATCACAGTGCCATTTATGTTACTTTATATACAGCAGAAGCCTAGTAAGTAATTTCGTTACTTATTAGAGAAAATAAAAGCTGCAGACAAATAAAATCTGGGAAGGGGGAACAAATTACAATCTTTATACATTTTTGAACATGCTTTTTGAAATATAATCACATGACAACAAATACAAGTAAATGCACAGATTAACATGGTGCAACCTCATTTACCACGCACTGCTTTCTCACCTTAAAGTTTTCAAGTTTATGTGTGTCTTTGTGTATAAGGCTTAAATCAAATCAAAACAAAACCAAAAAACAAGCTCTCAAAATATGAGACAAGACTTTTATTTACCTCACTGACTCGCTCATCAGCCTTAAGTCGTATTACTCTTTCCTCCTTTAACTGCTTTAGGCACTCCTCCAGTTTTCCCTAGGATGAAGGAAAAGGTTAACTATTGTAAGTAATTCACACAATGACCCAAACAGCTCTTCCAGCTAGATTCCAGAAGTGAACCAAACACTGCGATCTACTACTTATGTCATACCAGCCTAGTGAAATCAATAACCAAAACACAACACATTACAGATTTACTTAACTCTTTCCAGCACAGATTTATGGCAGCTCACATAACAGGCATAGACATATAACAGAGTTAGTGAATCAGAAATAAAAAAATTCAGGCCATGAAAGGAAAATCCTATTCTTATTTGTGGTTTCCTTATAATAGGAAATAACATGCTGAAAACAAATTATGTAATTGCAAACTAAAATGCATTTTTAAAAAGTACATTTCTTTATGTACTAAAAATTGTTCTAACAGTTTTCTAAGTATTATCTAATTTAACTATCGAAACCTACAAGGAAAATATGATTCTTAACTGCCATTTTACAGATGAGAAAACTGAGGCAGGGAGAAGTAGAGCAACATACCGAAGGTCACATCATGAGGTAAGTAGTAGAGCCAGGCTTTGAATTCAGACACCTAGGTGCCAGTTGTGGTCCCAGGGGTGGTACTCTTCCCTTCACCAAGGTCAATAAAATAGGATGGCCGTGAGCAAACTCCTTTATCATTTTCAGGAAATAAAGACTCTAAAATCCTTGTGAGGGGGTCAATATTTGTGGTAGGCAGAATCCTAAAATGGCCTGCAAGATTCCCTCTTCCCAGGGTGTCCCAGCCCCTCAAAATAATGGGTGTTAAGATTGGGAGATTATCCCCGGTAGATATAACCTAATCAACCAAACCATTAAAAGGGACCAGGCTCTTTGTGAAAAAGATCTGAAGTACAAAAGGATTTAGACACCAGGGAAAGTCTCCACTGGTGGATAGGAAGAGGTCCAATGTTGTGAAAAGGAATGCAAGGAGGAGCCTGGAGGATCTATGAGGGTGCCCTGACTAAAAGCCAGCAAGGAAATAAGACCTCCGTTCTAAGTACAGAACCTAAATTATGCCAGTGCTAAATAAGCTGGGAAGTGGATTCTTCCTGGAGCCTCCAGATGACCACACAGCCTGACAGACACCTTGGTCTCAGCTTCATGATACTGAACACAGATACCAGTCCCATCCAGACCTTCTGTCTACACAACTGTGAACTAATAAAGAGGTACTGTTCTAAGCCACCAAGTTTTCAGCAACACAACCTCCAGGTTCATGAATAAAATAAATGACTTCTATTGCTTTAAGCCACTGTTTTGGAGTGGTTGGAGTGTGTTGTAGTAAATAAACAGAACATGTATATTTACTAAAACAGCAAGATATATTTTAAAGGCATTTGAATTTTCACTTAAACAGTCAATTTCAACTTCCAAGTTTAGTTTAACCTTAGCTATATGTATCGAAGGGGAAGTAATCTATTATATACTGACATAAGAAGAGAAAATTGGTACAATGTTCTAGAGTGATCTCTAGATCTTATAAATAATTCTGTCTGATTTCCCTAAGCAAATCTTCACAGATATGGGCAAGGCTTCATCTTTCAACATAATGCCATAGAACTGTAATAACTAAAATCTAGAAGAAAAGCTTCCAAATAAAAATAGTACATCCATATGAAGAAACTTCTATGAAGCCACTAAAAAACAATGAAAATAAAGGTCTCAAGAGTTAATGAATGTGGCAGGGCGTGGTGGCAGATGCCTGTAATCCTAGCACTCAGGAGGTTGAAGGGGCTAAGCAGGAGGACCTTGAGTCCAGGGCATGCTGGGTTACAAATTATCAGCTCCAAATTAAAGCTGAAATAAAATAAACACAGTATTTTTAAGGTGTAAAAATTTGTTATAAAGTCTATTTTTCTTTTGTTCATACAAACAGAAGAATGAAATGAAACTAGATGTCAGGTTTATAAAGTAATGCAAGGTAGCTTTAATTTTTTTTAAATTTTATGAAAAGAGAATACCAATGTCAAAAGATTTTTTCAACTTTACTTTTATTAAAAATAACGTCATATTTTCTTCATAAGAAAGTTTAGCTTAAAAAAAGAAAGCTTAGCTAACTCACTGATTTTCTGGCCTGTAAAATAAGAGCCATGAATCAGCTGACTACATCATACTGAATTTCCTTGAGTATAGTTTACGATCATTAAGGGTCTCCTTAAATCCAATATCGTATGACTATAAGAAAAGAAAAATGTATTATTCTGTGTTGGCAGCATGGTTCAAATGGTAGAACACTTGCCTAGGAAGTGCGAAGCCATGAGTTCAAATCCCAGTACTGGGGGAAAAAAAGAAAGAAAAAACACATTCGAACCACAGTGCCATGTATTGAGTTTTATTTCCTAGAGTTCATGCACACTTCTTTCCCTGAGTTCTAAGATAAGAAACCATTGAATGAGACATGAGTTAAAAGAGAGGGAAAAACAAGAGTTCCCCACCAGCTGCCCAGGGCCATTTTAGAATCAAGCCTCCACCAAGTAACAATTCTTCTCTGTATTCTAAAAGTGATAGCTTTGTACCTGTAATGCTTCTTGTTTTAAAGTGGTTTTCTCAGGCACTTCATGAACACTTTCTGAAGAATCATCAACCTCTTCAATTTCTGAGGATGAAGGACTTTCTACAGTCACAGTCACAGGAAAATCTGACTGCTAAAGAGAACAAGATTATATAATAACATAAACCAAATATTAAAGGATATCTAATCAAAGTGACCTTTCTGAGATATCAAGTCATTACCTATAAATGTCTTTTACTATACTTTAGCTAAAACAATCAGTAACAATAAAACCAACTCTTGCTGTGTAACTGTATAGAATTTTGTCATACTTGGTTATGATTTATACTTGGAATTGCCCACAATACTAAACTGTTTCCACATAACCAAGTTAAGAATCAGGATAAACAGATTTCCTGTTTTATACTGCAGGTAAGGAATTTATTCCTCAACATCAGACATAAAGAGTCTGGAAGTATAATTTTTAGGAAAATCCATCAGTAGAGGACTGATAAAAATTAGCAGAATAATTAAAGTTAACTGTCATTAATAAGTACTGGAGTTTTTTTTTTTTAATAAAGCACATACATACACACAACTAAAACTGCCCCATCAAAACCCTCATTTTTTCCTCATCCTTAGGTCAAAACTAGCATGCTAACAATACAATTCTGTCAAGTTCCAATACCACTGCAATGTTGTTCAAGATGATGCTTTAAAAACTGACCTAGTTACAACCCCATAAAAAAATCTACAGATCAAAATAAAGAAAACCAGGATTACATAACTTTATGGAAAAAAAAGTCACTAAATGTAATTTCTACCATAAGCAGCAAATCCTAGTTTGCTAGTATATGGACTCCTCAATGACAAAAAATATGCACATCCTGACTTTTGGGTGTGAAGTGGGCAGTACTGACACCCAAGGTTAGACACCTAGAGTATTCTTTCCTCAATCTCAGAAGGGCCATCTTTCAAAGAACCTACAGTGTCTCCCAAAACAAATGGGAAGAAGAACCTGAAACTGACAGAATTAGCTTGCTTTAAGACTCTGAGGCAGTAGGATAGGGAATATCTATGGCCCTGGTGAGGGAGGAAGAAATGCTCCAAAAAAGCACAGGCTCTGGCATTTATAGCTTTGTTCTGGTTTTGAGATCTGGAATTTACATGTACTTACGTATCCCTAAAACAATATTTCTTAAAAACTTGAGGACATGTTTAAGTATGATAGCTCCATTTGTCAGGTCAGAAGTGGTGGTCAAATTTGTTTCATTGGGCAACAGCTGATTTATGAGGTAGAGAAATGGTTTCCGTATCTACAGATGAAACTGTAAGACACCCCCCAGTGTGTGCCATGTACACACAATTATACCATGGCGTGGGACAGCAGCCTGCAAAGTTTTAAATGGATTTACTTCAGGAAGGGAAATATTTTTTTGTAAGGCTATACTCAGCTTAAAAGTACAGAGGAAGACCTTTCTACTCCAATCCCCTACATGTTATAAATATGATAAATACATACCTGCAGTTGATTAGTTATATCACGAGTTTTGATTAATGGAAAACCCCTAAAAGGAAATCAACAAATGAAATTATAGTTTGATGTAAATATACTATCAGATAACCAAACTTACTAGTATTATGTACACTATCCACACAGAACTCTGTATAGAACTAAATAATCTCAAAATAAGGACATAGAAGGTGCTGCCATGGAGGACGCTGAACAGACTTTAGAAAAATGGCTCTGAGATAGTTAAGACAATTCAGAATCTATGTCAGAGTAGCTGGGATTTCCAACCTACACTCTTTAATGATGTTAATCACTCTCTGATTTACAACTCCTTGTGATCAGGAGGGACTACAGGATGAATAAAATAATATCAGAAGAAGACATGGACCCATAAAGTTACAAAACTAAAATGTAAAATCGGGGACTCAGCACCAGTTTGTGTAATAATTTACATTAACATTTGTGAAAAAAAGTAGTCACTTGCCTAATGAAGACTATACACACCAATTGAATGTGAGCAACTAAGCAGCTATTTTATAGTACCTATTTCCAGTTCTCCTACTTAAAGTCAATTCTCTTTGCTTTCTAAAGCAATTATAATCCTAGATTGCTTGAATGTACCCAAGTCAGTCAATATAAAATAAGACAATAATCTAATTCACTTAGCATAAAATTATAGTACAACACATTTTAACAAAAATTACAATGAATAACTATACCAAGAGTAATGATTCACTAAAGTAAGAGTCTAATCTATTTCTTACCCGTTTTCACTAAAGTATTTCTCATGACTACAATGCCCTTTCCTACTTCAGTCCTGTGTGGCTTGGATCAACTATACATCCTTTACTGAGACCTTTTCTCACCTGTATAACTAGCCTGTATAGCTAGCCTCCTATGACTCCCACGAGGTTAGTTATAACATGCTGGGATACTTACTGAGTAACTTGAAACTCCTAATTATAATTTTTTGTTTTTCTTCCTTAGAGGGCTCATTAGGCAGAAGCTGTAGGTAAGTCATGTTTTTCCCCTTACAGAAAAACCAGAAAACACCCATATAATAAAAGATCCAAAATAAAGAATTGTGAATGGCTAAAAGATAAGGAATAAAAATATCCTACCTGTTCCTTTTTGCACGTTCTGCAGTACGCCATGGCAAGAAACCAGACACACCAGGTGGTAGAGGCTCAGGAGTATTACATTCCTTATTCAGGGTGTGCTTTCTTCCATTACTTACAGGTTTCTTTGTAGCTAATCCTATGTTTGAAAAAGTGTCAAAGAGAATCAGCATGCACTAAAGATGTATAGATTAATTATCATATGCATACTCTTAATAGAAATGAGCAACTGACAATGATACCAAGGCCATTAAAACAGTATCTTCTTGCAAAATTCTCAATAGAAAAGCATTGTTTTAAACATATATGTTGAGTATATGAGATGAGAAGAACATGCAAAAGTAAATAAAAAAATATATTCCAAAGAATGAAAAATTATGTATCATGCAGAGATTCAGTGTTTCTGATTCTCAAACATCTTTGGCATTTCTGAATCTCAAGGATGGTTCCACATGGATACAGCCATGATTCCTGCCTCACAGATCCTTATGAATTAGATCAAAGTTTCAAATGAAGATTAATTTTACTATGTAAAATCTATCAAAGTTTAAAGACTGAAGTTTGCTGGGTGGCAGGACAGTCAATGTTATCCTCTAAGTCTAGTGATCTTTTGTGCTCATTTTATTTTATAAAAAACACCAATAAAACAAAACCTATTGGATAGAAGAATGAGACTTATCCTACATGGAACACCAGAGGGTCAAGTATCTTTATATGAAATATTTGGTAACAGAAGCTAGACCTTCATATCAATACTTTATTAGCACAAACCATATACTAAAATTACATCTAAATGTTAAATTATCTAATATTACAGAGAATAATATAGGTTTATTAAAATGGTTATATTTGTTCTTCCAGTCTATTTTACTATACAAGATCTATTTTAACAGTATTAGGATAGCATCTAAAATAAGGCGCATATTTCATCCAGTGTAATTTACTGATATTCACAGCATGGTACTGTGTCACTTTACATACATTTACATGCCTCTTAAAACATAGAGGAGCCCTGTTCATTCTGTGCAATTCTATTTTTGTTTCTTAATTACCTTCACACAAAAAGGTATACATGTACATACCATTCCTTTCTTTTCAGAAAACGTAAACACATTTTAAATTAAAACCAAAATATTTTATATGTATCTTGCTAGGAGATGAAAAAAACTGCAAAGAAGTTCTTACCTACTGCACACATACATACATACAATATGAATATAACACAATTCACATAAATATTCAACCCTTGTTCTCACTGAAAGCTAAACTAAGACACTGATTTGGCTTACCTCTATGTCTCCAAATAACTGAGGCAAAAAAAAAAAAAAAAAAAAAGCCCAAGAAATAAAATTACTCTTAAAATAGCTCAGGAGAGCCTATAAACTGCAGTCACATTTCCATTTTCCTTAACCACACTAAGAAACAAGTTTTGTTTTTTTTTTAAATTCTCATCCTCTGATACCATTAAATATCACTAACTACCAAAACAACAGAATTTCTAATGTTTTACATATATTGTATATATTTTTATATTTCCCTAATATTATATCAAAACATCAACTGAAATACTTTTACATGATGTAAACTATTAGTAATAATACATGGTATGATGTTACAAATTTCAACTCATAAATTCTAACTGACTACTAAAATACAACTCTGAAATAAAAATCAATAGACAAATGCTGTAACACAACTACTAATACATTTACTACTATTTACTTCAAATAAGTTGTTCATTGGTTAATAATAAAATAAAATTGTATTTATGAACATATTTACAGTAAGATTTTAAAAAATTAATATTTAGTTTTTTCCTAATTATTATCAGCTTAAAATATTGATCTATCAACTCAATGAAATTTTGTGAATGTATTAAAAAGGGTAACTATGCATCATAAAATTTTGATTCAATATGAAGTGGAAAAAAAGAATGCCAAACTATACTTAAGCTACACGAAATTATGCTTACAGACAAAAGGGAAATATAAATATTTTTGAAAGGATCATGGAACTGGAGGAGGCTTCTAATCTGTCTCCATTGTTATGTTAGTGTAATACCTTCATAAAACCTAAACAAAAGTCTTCAAACAATACATTTTCTAGAACTGCGTTGCAATACACATAACAAAGTAAGTTCCACATTACCCACTTTTAAATGTACAGCCCAGTAGTGTTAAGTCAAACAACAATTTTTAAAATTTCAGTACATTTCTTTTCAACAAATAAAAGATTATTTGTTATTAATTGTTTGGTGATTTTGATGTATCTGCTATGTAACTCAAGTCACCACAAACCTTTTGCTGAGAAGCTAGAAGACAACGAACAAAAAAATATTATTTTGTTTCTTTTAAACTAGTCCTTATGCTTTACTGTCTCAAATTCAAAGTTATTATGAGAAAAGGAGAGTTTCATACTAAAGTTGGAGAAATTTATTTCACTTTATCATTCTTATCATAAAAAAGGATAAAATGTTCTAGAAAATAAGTTATGGGCTCTTTAGAAACAGTACCAAAATATTAGAACTCAATTATACCAAACTAAAATATTCAGGAGAACATGAAATTTATGCCACTGATTATTCAGTTTCATAAGAAATTTTTCTCTATTATACTTGGTCACAAAATTTTAGAAAATTTTAAATTCTAGATTAACTATTATTTGAAAAATAAAATATACATTATAGCAAACATTTAGAAAATGTTTTCTTGTCAGGCACAGTGGTGCATGCCTGTAATCCCAGCTACTCAAGATACTGAGGTGAGAGGACTTTGAGTTCCAGGCCAGCCTGGGCAGCATTCCAAGACCAATTCTCAAAACAACAAACCCCACAAAAAACAGCAACAGCTAAGGTTAATAAACTGGTCTGCAGCATTGTTTTATAAGGACTGTATATATTTTAAGGCTTTTCTTCATCACTAAAGGTGTTACTAGATTCAGTAACTTTAGTTAAGAATTTGCAAGGAGGGTTGGAGGTGTGGCTCAAGTGGCAGAGCAGCTGTCTAGCAAGAGTGAAGCCCTGAGTACAAACGTCAATACTGTCAAAAAATAGTAACAATAATAAGCTGCTTAAAATTTGAGCTAGTCCCGTGGCTCAAGTGGTAGAGTACCTGCCTAGCAAGCACAAAGCCTAAGGGAACAAAGGGGTAAAAATGGGACTGGGAAGAAATGTTTCCTATAGCATTAGTTTTTCATTGAAAAAAAACAAAAAACAGGGATGGCAGAGTGGCTCAAGTGGTAGAGTGCTTAGAACCTGACTAGCAAGCATGAAGCCCTGAGTTCAAACCCCAATACCACCAAAAAAACCAGGGCAGGCACAGGGGCTCACACTATAATCCCAGCGAGGACTGCAGTTGGAAGTCAGCCCAGGCAAAAGAAAAGTTAGAGAGACCCTCATCTCAACAAACAAGCCGCACAAGGTGGTACATATCTGTAATCCCAGCTATGAGCCAGATGCAGGTAAGAGGACTGCAGTCCAAGGCCAGCCCCACAAGAAAAGCACAAGACCCTATCTGAAAAATAACTAAAGAAAAAAGAACTGGTGACATAACTTAAGTGGCAGACTACCTGTCTACCAAGCATAGGCCCTGAGCTCAAACCCCAGCACCACCAAAAAACAAAACAAAAAATCAAAAAACACCCAAAAGCACTGTTAAAACTGTCATCAAAGGGCACGTCAAATTTCAACTGCAAAGTATGAGCAATAATGAGCAATCATGAAACATACTCAAAATGATGAACGTTTTATGAAAAACAAGCAGGAAAGGTGGTTAATTTAAAGTGGAAATACTAGCATTCCTTTCCTGACAACTGATTTACTATTTCTACATTGTATCCATTCTCACAATCTGCATCAGAACAATCACAGCCCCTACACCACAGTGCAGTCACCACTAGCTGATACTAACAGTGAGCAGAGATTTTAACTTAACATACTGGAACACATGAAGATAAAGAGCCAAGACAGAAAGGGTTACCGATTCTAATAGTAGCTTTTCCTTTTCGACTAGTTCCTAGAACTATAGTTCTCTTTTTCTGTTTAGCAGTTTTGGATGGTTCCTTCACTGATGGAGAAGTTATCCACTGGTACTGCAAAAGAGATACAGGTCATTTCAGCTGCAGGCAATTTCTGAGTGTCTGACCTTTACTGTAAATTATTAAGAAGTTCTATGTTAGTAAAAGATTTGCAATTTGAAGTTCTCAAACACCAAAGGAAAGAATCACATAATATTTTCAAACACATACAAGCCACTTGATTTCACTGAAAACTTAATTTAAGATGGAGCAGCTTTCACAGTTTTATTAAAAGCAGAAGCAAAATAGCAATTAAAGAGAAATTCTTCTAGGACTAAAGTGCATTATACCTCTGACTTAGCACTCCTTCCATTCTGGAGAACTTTTTTGATAACTGCTTTCATCATAGAATGATCTAAAGTAAAATGAAAATTGAAATTGTAATAACTGCTTTCCAATGAATGGTTATTCCCAGTTAAAAACAAAAGCCAAAGAATTATTGCTTTTCCCGTAAAATTAAATATGAAATCCACATTATGTAATTATGTACTTATTCCCCTTTTGAATATCCAACTTCTTCCTCACAAACAAAGATGAGAGTTTGCTACCTTGCATATTGCCCCTTAGTGGCTACTATTTTGGCAGCAGGAAAGATCAAATCTAAATGTTTTGGATGTGAAGTGGCTTTGTGCAGCCTTGGAGAAAAAACAGTCTCGACACTGTCCAGACACTTACATATCTAAAAGGCAACTCACACAGTCAAACCAAAGATGTGACACTCCCTTAAAGTGCTCCTCTCCCAGCCTTCTTTCTCAGTAAATGGCACCATATGGTACACTCAATCATCTAAGACATTTTTACATGACTTCTTCTCTTCATACCTAACATCGGATCTATCTGCAAGTCTTTTTTGGTTAAACCCTGTTTTGACCACTTTTCACCCTCTAACCTTCCAAGCTAAGCTAAGCTACAATCCCCTCTAGCTTGGACCACTATAAAAGCTCTTAACTGGTCTGTTTCCCTTCTTAGCCCTATGTATAAGCCTATTCTCCACACCAGCTCAGCAGCACAAAACCCTCCTGTGGCTTTCAGCTTATTTAGAATAGCCCATGTTCTTACCCTGGCCTTCAAGATCTTACAGTATCCAGAAGAAACTAAACAGAAGTTTCATCTCGCAGCATGCCAGGTTCTTCCTCCCTCCATCCACACTGGCCTCTCTGCTTTTCCTTAAATACTCCACCCACCCTGCCAACCATGCCTGTATGCTCACTGCTTCCTTGTTCTGGAATGTACTTCCTCCAGAACTTCCATGAACTACTCTTCTCTTAGGTCTCTGCTTAATTGTCACTTCTCCAGTGAAGCTGTCCCCTACCAAACCTATCTAGAATAGTCCCACCTGCCCCCCATCTGTCTTCTTGCCTTAAGTATTTTGGCACTTTCAGCTGTTTAAAATCATCATTTATCTGTTTACTCATTCATATTTGAACTCCTCCAATAGAATGTAAGCTCCATGAGGAGCAAGACTTGCTCTAATTGGCTCACTGCTATGTACTTAGTGCCTAATCCAGTGTTTGGGCACACAGTGTCTGATTTGCAAATTAATGAAATGTTCTTTCTAAAAATTCAGAGGTTCCACAGAAAAGGAAATTATGCTGTTGATGGAGGCAGGCTTATTATCTGGGTTCACTTCTATTCACAGTAGCAGTCATGAGGAATTTACAAGTATAACTTATTTTAATCAGTAACTTATCTGCTAAAACACAAGGAAGTATAAACTTAGGAAAATAAACACATTAAGTTTAAAAAAATTGTCAATACACAAACAAATTATTTTTGTTCTGCTATTTGCTAATCATTAAAAAAAACATGCTGACATACCAATAAGTGGATTTTTTCTTATATCCAGAATGACCAGAGTTCTGTTGGTTTCAAGGGCCTCTAGTAAAGCCTTGGCTCCTTCATTGGTGAGGCCACACTGTTGCAGGTCAAGTGCTTTCGATGAAAGACAACAAGTCGTTGGCCAACGCTATACAGTTTAACATATAGATAACTCTCATTTATGCCTGAATATTCCTAAGCAAGACTAATCATGGCAGGTTTTTAATCTTGCACATTGAAAAAAATAAAAACAGAAAAGCATATACAAACACAATCTCCCCTCCAAAAAACCAAGCCTCTAAACCTGCTCCCCACAAAAAGCCCTTCTTAGATGTGCTATGATTATCCTCCTTTTACTACAATAAACCACCCTAGCTATACGTGTGTGTGTATGTGTGTGTGTGTACTTTTTGGTAGTACTGGGTTTGAACTCAGGGCCTCATCCCTGCTAGGCAAGTGCTCTATTGCTTGAGACATGCTCCCAGTCTTCAACCCAACATATCTTAAAATCAAACAGTTGAAAAGCAACTCTACACAATCAATCTGTAAGAGAAAACCATCACAGAATGACTCAGTTCATAATGAGCAAGCATGTTAGTGGAAGTATAAACATCATGGGCAAAGTCAAAGCTCCAAAATATCACTGCATTCTTTAGATCTTGGTCTTGAATTCCAAATGATCTCAAAAAACTGTACTAAAAAGGGAAAAGAGCTGTTAATTTCAGAATAAAAAATGACAAGTCTAATGAGATACAAATAACAAAGAATGTCTGAATAAAGATTGTATTATAAAAAAACCTCTCAAAAAGGGCTAGCAGAGTGGCTCAAGAGGTACAGCACGTGCCTAGGAAGCATGAGGCCCTGAGTTCAATCCTCAGTACTGCCAAAAAAATAAAAATAAAAAAACCTATCAGAAAAGAATGGTGATCAAGAAGTCGTTCTCACTAAAAAGTCAAAGAACAGAACAAATACTAACAGTACTGCTCATTTAAACTCAAAAGAGATGGTTACAAAAGCACAGGTAGAAAAAAGCTTACATCAGAAGAAAATACCAGTCTTTTAAAAACGCCATGTATATACCATTATGTTAAAATAACTAAAGCCATTCAAAGCCCCATATGATTGACTACATGTCTATGCCCCCCCAAACTCTGTATGTGGAAACCCTAGTCCCCAGTAGCATGGCATTAGGAAGTGGGGCCATTGGTTTAGATATGGCTTGGCAAATGGAGCACCCATGATGGGAAAAGAGGCTAGCGCTCGTTCACACACTATTGTCTGAGGTAAAACAAGACAGCTTTTACAAACAAGAAAGAGCGCCCGCACCAGGTACTGGATCTGCCAGTGCTGATCTTGGGCTTCCCAGCCTCCAAAACTGTGAGAAATAAATGTGTTTAAGCTACCCAACCTATGATATGATAGCCAAACGAAGACACCCCATGACACACTACCCAAATTAATAAAAATAGTCAATAATTCTCACTAGTAAATCAAATGAAGACAAATTATTAGTAATGAATAAAGTGTGACTGTTCACCTACCAGAATAGGCTAAGAGTATGTGACAAAGGCCTTTAAAATGTGCACACTCTTTTTTGTATGGTATTGGGGATTGAACCCAGGGTCTTGCACATGCTAGGCAAGCACTGACTATAATCCCAGCTTAAAATGTGCACACTTTTTAAATCCAGCAACTCTCTTAAGAATTTACCTGAAGGAAATAATCAAGAGATGTGGACAAAAATGCATATCAAATCATTGCTTATAACAGTGAAAACTTAGAAATTCCTTATTTATCTCAAAGGAATGAAAAAATGACAGTATCCAGTAATGGAACAGTTTTAATGTACTATGGCATCGTAATACCATGGGACAGTCACTAAACATGATGCAGTAGATATAAGCTTGATGTTAAGATGCTCATGCTATAGTAAGTGGAAAGAGTTTTAAAATTTACAGAGCAATACCAAATTGTATTAAAGGGGTGGGCTCTCATTTTTGCAAAGTTTAAAGAGACAACCCAGCATTTATGAGCATGCAGGCCTCACATATACTGTTATTTAAAATGGCACAGCACTTCTGGAACCCAAGTTGGCAACCTGTATCAAAAGATCTTAAGAATACATTACACCCACTGGGCATGGTGGTGCACTCCTGTAATAACAGCTATGCAGGAGGCAGAGGCAGGAGCATTGAGTCTGAGGACAGTTCAAGTAAAGGTAACATGAGACCCAACGTCAAACAGTAGACCCTTGGTATCCACCAGTATATGGTTCCAAAGAGATCAAAGTTAAGGAAAAACTGTGAATGCTTAAAATGCATAGAGTTTAAACACAACTTAAGACAACATGGGACTGACTGAGAGCTTCTCGCATCAATTTAGTTGCATAAGGCATGCACTGGAATCCTGGGAATTATTTTTTGAACAAGCTGGGTTAAAACTGCATATAATAAATTCAAAAATAGGGTACGCTTACTGTAAAAGCAAAAAGGACAGGGGCGTTGCTAAAATGGTAAAGTGCTTGTCTAGCAAGTTGAAGCCAAGTTCAACTCCCAGTACTACCAAAAACAAAAAGTTACACTGAAGTCATTCCACTTTTAGTAATTTACCCTACAGAAGTAACTCCAATGAACACATTTACAGTAGGGGAAAGTACAAACTATGTAAACATCACATGACAGGGAATTAAACTATCGTGCATCGATATAAAGGAGTACTACATGATGCATCACTAAGTAAAAACAGTAGGGCTACAGAACAGTAAGTTCACTAGAACTCTATTTTTGTAATCTCTAATTGTACAAATACATCTACAAGAAAAAGGCTGAAATATGTACGCCTAAGCGAACAGGGATAGCGCTGGGTATTTTGATTATAGGCAACATGGTCTTCTTTTTTACTCTGAATTTTCCATGAGGAATATATGTAAGTTTTATTAAAGTTTAAAGTACAATAAAAGTTATTAGGAAAAAAAGAAGCTTTCAAAATATTTTTTGATAAACATGGTGCTAAGGGCTAAGCATATTTGATACTAAAAACTCACATTTCCAATGTTAGAGGCTCATTTAATTTACCTTTAAGCCATAAATCTTCATTAAGAGAGTCTGCAAAAGCACGTGCACCCAGGTCACCAACCAGCGTGTTACAATTCAATGTGATACGCCTTAGGCCAGCCATGCAGTCAAGGTCAGGTCTCCTATAGCGAAGACTCTCAGCCCAGGTCTCTTCATGCCTTCTTATGGTCTGATACTTCAAAGATTTAACAGCATAAAACTAACATGCTTGAATAAAGAACAGGAACCCTAAAAGGAAACTAAGTGTAGCTGATTATGTCAGTGTTTTATACACACACCTAACAATATATGCTGAGAATCAGCCTGCCCTCAGTATATTAAACAGAAGACTCTGGACATAAGAGTCTCAATTCCAGTCTGCCACTTATTAGTTATATAAACTGACAACTCAATCAACTTTTAAGAATTTCAGTCCAGCACCAGTGGCTCACGCCTATAATCCTAGCTACTCAGGAGGCAGAGATCAGAAGGACTACAATTAGAAGCCAGCCCTGGGCAAATAGTTCTCAAAACCCAATCTTGAAAAACCCACCACAAAAAAGAGCTAGTGGAGTGGCTCAAGCAGTAGAAGTGCCTGCCTAGCAAGCATGAGGCCAAGTTCAAGCCCAACGCCTCCAAAAAAATCAGATTAAAAAGAATTTCTTTTTTTTTCTATCTGCTAAGGTAAAGAACTGGTTCTAAATTCCATCACTGCTGAACCTCTAAGTTCTATCATTCTGTCCTCTAGTGCTCTCCAACACTTAGGTGGGTATCCTGCAAGTAAACATTTTTTAACATTTATCTTATTCATTAATTACATACATAAAGCTCTATACACAGACTTTATGTACCTTATAAACCATACAGAAACAATGGATTCTTTTTTTTTTTTTCATGGTACTGGGGTTTGAACTTCAGGGTCTTGCACTTGCTAGGCAGGCGTTCTGCCATCTGAGCCATGACTCCAGCCCTTTTTGCACTGGTTATTTTTGAGATAGGGTCTCCCTTTATGCCCAGCCTGAACCATGAACTCCTGTTTGTGCTTCCCATGTAGCTGGAATGACAGGCCTGTGCCACCACTGTCAGCTTTTATTGGTTGAGATGGGGTGTTGCAAACTTTTTGCCTGTATTGGCCTCAAACTATGATCCTCCTTGATCTCCACCCTGGAGGTACTAGGATCACAGATATCTTTTAAATGATACAAAACCACAGAAGCGCTAATATTTGGTCCTAATTCAATGGATCTCACATTCTTCTTAGGACATGTATACCAACTTTACAGGCCAGTCTGACATGCATTAGGAAGTGGTTGGTTTGATTTTAACCACAGGTATTATCTTAAAGACTATAATTAGTTCTCTACTAAATTTACTAAATTTACATAAAGAAAGTTTTGATAATAAGGAACACTGATTTTAAAAGAAAAAAATCATACTTGACTCTTGAACAACAAAAGACGCAAAGCTCCTTTGACATGACACTCCAAAAGGAAAATTGTTAATGTCATTTTCCTATTACAAATAACTGTATAGAAGCAACAAGAGGAAATAACAGCAAACACTTAACACTGTGCGTACTATGTGGCAGGCACTATTTTAAACAAGTTAGCACATTAAGCCTTAGAATGATCAGTGAAGTGGGTTTTCCTGTTATACATGTTTTATAGACAAAGGTATAGTAATTAGTTCATGGTCACAAAGTATTAAATGAAAGAACCAAGATTTGAACATAGGCCTGTCTGGCTTCAGAATCTACACTTTTTTTTTCTTTTTGCTGAAGAGGTATCTTCACTGAATTAAATAACAATTTTTAAAAATCTGTTGATAATACATTTGATTTAAAAAATGTTTGCATCAGATCACCACAAAGCAGATTTACATGCAATTATCAAATGCAGAAAACAGAAGAAAGTAAGTTTCTAGGTGATCCTAACAATGGCATACTTTATTGTAAGAAAATTTAAAACTTTTACAAATGTTAAAACTATTAAGTGTACAATGGTGCAAAACACCAATGATTTAAGCAAAACCTCTTAGTTTTTAAGGAAAAAAAGTATGTTTTTCATTTTCTATTCTTGACCCAAATTTTAATTCTTTCCAGTAGGACCAAAACATCCTGAACCCCTTTAATGTCATCCAACACCTGAACTTCTTCTACTCCTGCATAAAAAAAAAAAATCCATTCTCAAATGAGCTGGGCAATTCAATCACCTTTTTTTTACTTCAAATTTCTCTTTGCCAAAATTAAACAGTATAATGTCAACATTTCCTCTATAATCATCTATGGCACCAGCTCCTACATCTATGAAGTGCTTTATAGTCAAGCCAGAATGTTGTGCTACTCTTCTCCAGCACCCAGAAGGAAGTACTACCTGTTTTTCCTTTTTTATTTATTTATATTTTTTCCGGTGCTGGGGACCAAACTCAGGGCCTTGCACTTACCAGGCAAGCGCTCTTCCACTGAGCTAACTCCCCAACCCCAGAAGTACCCATATAATCATAGGCACTCTACAGATCTCAGAGACCCTTGAGTCAGAGCTGAGGTATGTTCCAAGAGCCGCACAAAGCGGAGCCACATGCCACCCTCCTCCACAGGCTGGGGGAAATGGTGGTTAGCTCTTCAGAGCAAAGCATGGTGGAGCAAAAGAGCAGAATCCATACTCTTAATCACTGTTTGTCTCAAGAGTTAGAGTACTTGCTCTGTAAAGGCCAAAGTAAACATTTTCAGCTTTGTAGATCAGTTTCTTTTGCAAATAGTCAACTTGCCTGGAAAGGGTGAAAGTAGTCATAGTAACTATGTGAATAACTGGACATGGCTGTTTTCCAAAAATCTTTACATACAAAAACATAGGAGATGGGCTACATTTGGTCCACAGGCCATAGTTTACTTATCCATAATCTTACTATTTGACTACAAAAGATTTCATGTCAAATTAAGTAATTAATTTTAGGCCTAATACAGTAGTTAGAACCCCTATAAAGTTAATGCATCATTAAAATTATTTTTAACTGCTACAACAAACTTTGTCAATAACTAAAAACACACAGAAGTATCAGTCATAATGTATTATACTTTATAAGTTTCTTTTTTCTAAGATTTTATGTGCATACCTTTACTAAGTGGTAGACCCAAGCTGAATACTGGTCACATTCTTGCAATCAAACTAAAAATTGCAATCACCATATGAATCAAGACAAAAATAATTGTCACCTCATATCAAATATTAATGTGTTTCAATCACATAATATATTTTCACAAAATTTTTAACATAAAGTCACCTTTAAGATCTTGGCCATGTGATCTGCTCCCTGCCATGTCAGATTACACCCCGAGAAGTTGACTGTTTTAAGAGTGACAGAGTTCTTTATACCTTGACAAATAACTAAAAGAAAAAACAAAAACAAAAAGCACTGTATACAATAAGACGAAGAGCTTAATCAACCTGGTTGATCTTGATTTATTTACTATCTTGTGTCTATGCTGGTTTATAGCTGTATTCTTAAAATCACTCTACAGTCTTCCCAAACAACTAATGGACTGGCATCACCTAACACATGTCAGAACAAAGTGTCATACCAATTTGCAGCACTAGTTTTATTCTATTTAGTTTATGGTTTGAAGTCTCCCATAAGTTCATGTGCTGCATACCTGCTCCCTAGATGGTGGCATTATTTAGGGAAGCACTAGAAACTGTAGGAGGTGGGCCTAACTGGAGAAAGTGGGTCACTGGGGGTGGGTCCTTGGGTTTAGTTTGTCCCTGGCTCCTTCCTACCTCTCAGCTGTCTGTTGGCAATGAGGTGAAGAAACTACCCCCCAGCACACACTCCTGCCACCATTATGTTTGCCCAAGCGTTTGGAGCCAGACCACGGACTGAACTTCTGAAACCATAAGCCAAAATAAATCCTTCCTCAACTTACTCTCTCAAGCATTTTTGGTCACAGTGATGCACAAGTAATTAATACAGGTGCTAAAATTCAATACTTTGAATATTGCAAATTTATTCCTAACCACACAATAAAGAACTACGTATCTTTTGAAACAAAGAAAAAAAAAACCTAAAGTGCTTTCTATTTTCATTTCCAATGATATATGCACCTTGATCTTGATCTTCAATTGTGGATAACGAATCCACAACGAATCCAATTGAAATGTCAACTATAAGTCTATAATATAATTGCTATTCAATTACATAAACTGCTGTCTAATATACAAGAGTCATACAAGCTAGAGAACCAGAAATGCTGTTCTCTCAAATTGAAATGCAGGCATTCTTAACTCTCCAACCATGACAACACACGATGAACACCCATTAATTCTTCAGGACCCCAATCTACATTTACCTTCTATAATTTCTATCATGACCTCCATCCCCCCAAAGCTTTTGCTGACCTTTTATATACTCCTATAGCATTCTATATATATTTTCTATTTTAATGCACACCACAGTATATTAAACTACTATTACATTTTACCTACTTAAAGATGATTCTTTTTCCTTCTTTACATATTGCTATATCCTTCCCATAAAATTTCCTAAGAGAAACCCTAAAAGATGAACAATCACAAAACAGAATACCAAACAGTATAGGTTTGTGGTTTAATACAACCTTAAGAAAAGTTATTTCAGAGCATATTCAGCATGACAAGCTTTTATGGTAGAAGTAAGACTGGACCAAGGTTTGAAGAGGCACTGAAAGCAATCCAGATAGAGGCAGCAGCCAGGAAAAGTACTGACAGGGGTTAACATGGCATGTAGGCAAACATGAGACCAGTCTAACAGCCAAAGAGTTAAACAAGATTAAAACTCACTTTCTAAACCTCCATCTCCAATTGGACAATTTGCAAGAGACAGGTGCACCAAAGAAGTCGATTTATTCAATCCCTTTAATAGGGGAAAAAATTAAAAATATGTTGAGCATTTCCTTCCCCAAATCAGCTATCAAATGTTTGACAGCCATACTGGAGAAGGCTTACCTTTGTTAAAATAGTTAAATCTCTCTCTCTCAGAACTAGTCCATTTAGCTCCAGGTTCCTTAGCACACTTGATGCACTTAAACAACCTTTAAGGGCTTTACATAACTGGAAGGTCACATCTTTGGATCTTATTGCAGGTATACGACTTCTGCAAGCTTTGTTTATGCCAGAACCTAAAGCAAAGTTATTGTAAAATTAGTGATTTTAACCATACAGCTTATCATTAAAAAACATCTGCTAAGATTCTAAGGCACAGAAATGAACTATGTCCTTAAAGGTTTTTAAGGAGAGATACATGAAAACTCAAAGCCACATGATATAAACAAAAAGCATGTATACAGAGGTTCTTCCACAGGCAAAGAAGTTGCATCTGAGGGATGGCTTCAAGAGAATCCTGAAGCTGAATCTACAAAGATAAGAATAGGAGTGGGTGATCCATTAGCCATAGGAGTGGAATATGTAAAGGCATCCAAGATTGACGCCTACTGGGCATTGTAAACACTGCAGGTGGGGTGATGACACCCTGCAGGGGTAAAGAAGAGTTGGAAATTGAGAGAGGAGACTGAGCCAAGCCTGGGAGAGTTAGCTTTTATCTCCCAAGTGATGAGAACCAGGGTTATCACTGACATAAAAAGGATGTTCCTGGCAGGTTAGAAAAATGTGTCCCACTGTTGGAGGATCAATTAGATAAGGGGAATGACTAGAAAGAGGTACTGTTTCACAAAGATTGGAAAAAATACCCTTTCCTCAGGACTAAGTAGCCCCATTAGGGTTGGGACAGACAGCATGGATTTCAGTGCCTTTGTGAAGGAAGAGGACAAGCTATGCGACCAATATGTGCAGGTCCTATGCAAGTGAGCCACTTTAAACCTTGTTGAAAGCATGTCATTTCAGTTCAGAAAGGTCACTTGAACTGAAGTAGACAGATGAAGTGACGGAAGTGAGGTGCAGGGGCAGCAAAGCCAGCTAGGAGCTTCTGCACTGGCATAGGCAAGCACAATTACTGCTGAACAGTGACACCTAGGAAGTCAACACCTATGGTCCAAGCAAGGAACCAGAGGTTCAGGCCTGTAATCCTAGCTACTTGGGAGATTAAAAACAGGAGGATCAAGGTTCAAGGCCAATCTAGGCAAACAGACCCCATCTTCAAAATAACCAGAACAAAATGGACTTGGAGGCATGGGCTCAAACAGTAGAGTGCCTAATTTGCAAGTATGAAGCCCTGAGTTCAAAGCACAGCTCACCAAAAACAAACAAACAAACAAACAAAAAAAACCCAAAAACTATAGTCCAGACCCACTGTATGCAAGAGAAGATTCAGCAAAGGGTATCTGAAGAGAAATAGGCTGGAATACATTTTTTCTTACATTCGGTATAAAATATTGGGCACAATCAAGCATGCTAGCCTTCACTGTAAGGTCCCTGTCATCTTTCATTTCTTTTGATTTCAGTTACTACTTTGGATAAATAAAGTCCCTTCAGAGGCACAGAATAGCTCCAACATCTGAGATGCAGAGAACAATGTGATTTCTCTTTGGCAGTGGGTATGTTGAGCTGTCATTGCACAAGAGATCACAGATGGTGCTAACCATCTAGGTCCATGACAGTGGTTAAGTTTTTAAATAAATAATCACTTCATCTCCTAGATTGTCACACCTTCCCTCTCAGCTGGCTACTTTCTCTCACAAACATATTCAAGTTCATCCATACTAAACATATCTTTCAGACCTATAATTTTCTCAGTCTTCTCTATGGATAACTTGGGTCCTTCTCCAACCTTCACACGCCCAAATCTATATCTTGGGCCCTGACCTGCCTAGCAGATATCTGGACATGATCTTAAAACATTAAAGATTAACTAAGGTCAGCTCCTACCCTAATCCTGCTTGTTGTGTCAAAAGGAGAGAAGCTGCTTTTAAGTGTCACCCAAGCCCGTGGCCTTCCATCTTCTAACTTACCGCCCTCTTCAATATTGGAAATCTAGCCCTCTTTATACCTTAATTTGGGCTGTTTGGTTATAATTCACCCTCCTTCCAACTTGAATTTGCCATCCATATGGAGGTAAGAGTGAGCTCCTAATGCAAATCCTGCAGTTGTTCCCCACGACCTTCAGGTTAAACACTGAACTCCTTGTTGGGACAGACATTTGACCTATTTGGACCAGGTTTCCAGTCTCAACTCTCTGTTCTTTCTTAAACCCAAAATTTAGTCTTGTATCCCAGCTTGCCATTTCTATGATTCCTTCCCATTTCTATGACTTCTACACAAGCTGTTCACATCTGGCTGGCCTCTACACATCTTTTTAAAGGATGGTACCTCCTCCAAGAAGCCTTCCTTGAACCTCCCTCTTCTGTTCCCTGTGCTCTGCAGAACTGGGCTCCTGGGGTCATTGTTTCCGTACTTTCTCCCCAGCAGAAGGGAAGACTTTTCAGGGCAGGGGCAGACAGAGCTCACTGTAGTACTAAGAGTTACCACATAGAACCTGCTTCAATCCTGAGAATCCATTGACACAGAGTTGTTTCACTACCTTTTTTCTAAGTGTGAAAATTAGTTTAGAAAGTAACTTGCTCCAGGTCACAGAGTATCAGCCCTGGAATTCAAACCCTAGACGGTCCCCTACACACATGTACTTTTCTTATATGATGCTTTTTTTTTTTTTTTTTGGTGGTACTGGGGTTTGAACTCAGGGCTGCAGGCACTCTACTACTTGAGCCACTCCACAAACCCTGTTTCATGCTGGGTTTTTTCGAGATATGGTCTCAAAAACTATTTACCCAGGGCTGACTTCAAACCTTGATCCTCCTGATCTATGCCTACCGAGTAGCTAGGATTACCGGCATGAGCCACCGGCACCTGGCTATTATGCTACTCTTAAAAAAAAAAAAAAATTAGCTATAGCTATCTATATAAAAAAAGACATGAAGAGTCAGGTAGGAACAGACATGATGAGTCACAAATTTTTTGCCACTGTGCATGTCTGTGAATGATCATGAAAGCAGCACAAATACTTATTTGGGGGTTACAAATAATATCAGATTGGTGAATCTGCAAATAAAGAAACTGCAAGTGAGAAAAAAACTACATCAACATGTTTTAAAAAAGTAAGTTGTCACTGAATCGTCAAAGCTAGAATGCCTTTTGTTTCAGTACATATATTTTCTTCCTTTTTTATTTTCAATTATCCTCTACTTTTCTGTATTAAGTATGTAATTAAGGGTGAGAGAGAGGATTCTAAAATTAACATTCAAAAAGGAAAGAGAAACTCGGGACAGAAGCATTAAGAAGTGGAATCATTTAGCCAGAAGATCATCCTAAACGTACCCCTGAAGGGCAGAGTTAGTTATCCTCAAGTGACATGAGTCAGTCTCAATGTGGCCCCACTTCAAATCTCTACGGCTCTTCGCGAGGGGGCGGTGACTGCAGGGGGCATCTGAGCTAACACCCACAGTAGGAACTGAACGTCCCTTTGGAACAGTTCAGGCTGGATTCAGACTTAAACTTCACGTTTCCCATCCATCTGTAACCAAATCTCTTTTATGCTCATTTGATGGTAACTAGTAAGAAGATGTGATCTTCTTTCAACTTAAGCAACTACGATTGAAGTCTTATAATGTACAAAACGTTGTCTATGTGTTAGAAAGAGTAACACCGTTTGGTCACATCATGATTTACCTGTTTTGCAGATAATCAGAGGGTTTGGATCCCCTCTCATACTACTTTACATTTAGAAACTCGATCTGTAAAGTCCTTTAAAAATTCTTACAAACGCATTTTAAAAAATGAAAAAGGGGAGGGGGGGAGGCTGGGATGTATTCATTTCCTAATCAATTATTCCTGTATCAGGAAAATTGAAGAGACATTCGGTGCAACAGGGGATAGCTGGCCAATGTCGTGTAAGCGTCCTACAAGCATCATTCCTTGCACTTGCCATATACAGCTCTGGTCCTGTTTACAGAAGCCCAGAGTTTAGTGACTCACCCGGCTGGTAAAGAGTCCCCGGGCCCCTTGTCCACCGCATACTCCCCGCACTGGGCACCTGCCCAAGGGCCCGGCCTCCACCTAGCGCATCGCCCGAGGGGCGCGGGAAGCGGGAAACACAAACCTGTCTCCCCGAGCCACGGCTGGCAGAAGCTCTTGATGGCGACCAGGGGCAGGTCTTTATTGATCTTGAGGGTGCTCAGCAGCGGCGCCCAGTCCACCACGCGGAGGCGATCGGCGTTGAAGTCCAGCACGCCCTCCCGCAGGCAGGAGCGCAGGGCGGGCAGCGGCACCGAGTCCTGCAGCGCGCACAAGTACTCGTAGTGCAAGAAGAAGTCGGCCGCGCAGTTGCGGCGCAGCTTCACCGAGTCGATCATGGCGCGACAGCGGCCTCGGCGACCCCGGAGGGCCCTCGGCCCTCACCGCTGCGGTCTGACACCCGTGCGCAAGGGTCGCGGCTCGGCCAGAAAACCCACCTAGGCCGCGGGCCCCAAGCTAGGCCTGCCCCTCCACGCCGCACTGCCGCGTCACCTCCCGCCGCGCAGCCCCGGCCGTTGGCGCCAGCCGCATCTCCCTTAGCTGCGCGGGGCTGCGATTCAAGCCGGCCGGCGGGTTCCGGCAGAGGGCGGCGCACGTAGACGTCAGCGCGCTGGCTGTGCGGCCGCACGCAGGCCACGCCCACCAGGGGGCGGGGCGACTGGCGAGGCCCGCAGATGGGAATTGTAGGTTTACTGAACCCTCCGAATACAAATGAGCAGTGGATGTAGCAATATATTTTTGAAACATGGTCTCGTCTTTGGATAGGGTCTTAAGAAGTATTCAATTATAACGTATATAAATGTTATATGAATTAAAATGTAGAGATGTACTTGAGGGCGACTCCTGTATCACAGATCATTTAGTAATTATTAATGGAATTTTTCTTTAAATTATATTCAGTGTAAGAATTACTGAACACAAACTTAGAATTCACTCATCGATAGGGAAATTCAGGTTATATGCTTATTATTATAATATCCAATTGTATATTAAAGTGCGTTACTTTTGACAAAAAAACAAACTAATCTCTGGGGAAATCCAGCAATCTGCTACAGTTCTTTTAAACAAACAGTCTATAAACTCCTCAGGAGTATGTGATTGCAGCACTGGTCAGCAAGGGATGTATGAATGCTTGAATGTCCACTATCGTCCGTTATATTTTCTATTTGTGTTATTTTTTACAGAAAAAAAATTTCTTAATTTCTATAGCTGTGCTTATCTAGCACTGTTGTTGGCAAATTGCAAAGTGTCCCACAAATTCAGGACTTTTTGTTGTTTTGGTGATACTGGGGTTTGAACTCAGCGTTTCACGCTTGCTGGGCTTGTACTCTACCACTTAAGTCACTCCACCAGAGAAATTCAGGACTTTGTTTGGGTTTTTGTTCACTATGAATCGCTTTGTTTTCTACTAATGATGGCACACTCCTATAACTAGTACGTTCTGTATCCCAGGCATTATTCAAGCATTGTTTAAATCTCCACAAGAAATATACTATTATACAACATCTGTACAAGACATATCTAACATCTCTACAAGAAATATACTATTATACAATCACTTTACAAATGGGGAAAGTGAAGACTAGCGAAGTTAAGTAATATACAGCTCAGTAAGTGCACGAGCCCAGAGAATTGGCCTGAGAACCTGTATTGTATCCAGTCCGTTGAACAATGATAGTCCTCCAGTCAAGCCTGGTATTGGGGTATTCCAGATGTCTCTCAGTTCATGAATACAATGCCTAAGATTAGGATGCTACCCTAGATGCAGCAAAAGATCCACGAAGAATAAGAACATAGTAAAGAGTGATGTACAGGAAGGCTAAATTACGCCTCAAGAGGTGAGGTGGACAGTGCCAGTAAAAACTGATTACAAAGAAACTGTGGGGTTTTATCCAATAAGGTAAGGGTACTTAGGTGGCATGACACTGAGATCCACCCCTTGTGGCCCTACCAAAATGGTTTGGCCACTGTACAGAGGCTGCCTGGGTGTGGGAGGGTATATGCCTATGCATTTGGCCCTCTTTGCCCTTCCCTTGTAGTCCAGATGTGCCCCCTTCACCTTCCTCCTCTTCTCCCCACCCCCATTTCTGCTCATGTCTTCCTAGCTGCCTTTGATACCATCAAGAGCTCAGAACCTTGAATTCTTTCAAGAGAATAGATGGCAAGATCAACCTGGCTGATCTGGCTGCCTCCTGCTGACCAGGCAATGGTGGTACTCAGATCCAGAGTCTTGCTCTCTGTCAGGACTCAGGGAAGCTAATTAGGCCTGGGCAGAGATTGCTGCTGAGAATGTGACTTTTTTGTTGGACCAGCAAGACTATAGCTGTCATGAATTGAAGCAGTCAATTCATATCCAAGGGTGAAGATGTTCTATAGTTTGGAGGTGAGAAATTTAATAAGGGGATTAAAAATTAAAGGCCAAAATGGGACGAGAAGCAGGATTAGGAGCAGGGGGTGGGTAGTATGTATAATTAAGCAGTCTGAGTCAAATGTGTGGTCCAGGATTGATCAGGCAGGGCCTTGTTAGAAAGCCTTTGGTGCCTAGAGGGGGATAGACTAGCCTCTTGTCACAAGAGTTTATGCATAAGTCCTGTTGTACCTGGAATTCAAGGTGTTCTGAGAGGACAATGGCTCAGAGCAAAGAGGACAGATACAAAATGGAGGCAGAATATTTGTAGGTCCGTGTGAAGAGTCACTGCTTTTTAGCAAATACTGCTTTATCCCCTGTGTTTAAACATTTCTTATTCTTGAGGGAATTAGGATATAGGTCAATCTAGATTTGGGGATAAACTGGTACATGAGAAGGGAACAAGTTGTAATGGTTGAAATATGCAAGTGAAAAGAGAGCCTTGTTTAAGCCTAAAGAAAGAAGCATCATTAGAAAGTAGAATACAAGAGAGAGTCAAAGGTGCCTAGAATGGCTTTAATGTCAGCTATCAGTACCCTTTCTCCAGAACCTCACAGCTTTAGTTACTTTTGGAAGGACTGGCGTAAGTGACTCCATCTTTTGCTACTGGTTTTGGAACAGTCTCACTACATAGTTCAAGCTAGCCTAAAACTTGTTGTGTAGCACTGGCTCACCTCAAAATCATGATCCTCCTGTTTCAGCCTCCCAAGTGCTGGCATTACAGACAGGTGCCACAATGTCTGGCTTGATTCCATTTTGATTCTCCTTGTCTCTGATTAGTTCTCTCCAAACTATCTCTGAAAAGTTTAGCTTTAATTGTCCCTTGCCACTGGGATAAGATTTACTGGTTGGTCTGGTTGGATCCCACATTTGGGGAGAAAAGATACAATGGTGGGAGTCAGTGCCAAAGGCCCTTGTGGCAAAATTTAAGCAAGTAAGAGGTTTAGAAGGAGTGGCTCTCAAGCTGTGCTTACCTGAAGTTTAGTTTTAAGTTTAATTTTTTGTCTTACCTAAGTTGGTGATATCTCAAAACACTGCTTAGGTTGTTTTGTTAGGAGTTATACTTCTGTAGAATGTCAACAGACAAGAGTTACAAATTTTTACAAGGAAAATACAAAAAACCAACCAGAGCAAATACTTTAAGAAAACTAACTTGTTTACTTATAAGAGTCATCTTCTATGAGCCTGACTGTAAATGCTCCAGAAAGGAAGCAAATTTTAGAATCGTTGACACAGTAGGCTGTTAGTTGAATAGAACTGACAAATATAATAGGAGATGGTGATGGAGCCAGGTCTGAGAGAACAACCAGAGTAGAAACTTTCTTTGGGGTTTTGTGATCTTTCCATGGATTCATGCACAAAGCCATGAATTCTTGGCCAAATGGAACATCTGACCATTCCCCCATCTTCTAGACAATATGTCTAATTGTAGGATGGTGTTCTTACCTAGGGTCCCCTTGGTAAACCAGGACATCTCATTTCCTAGGGTGTATTAGTGCCATGTTTGATGACTGGAGGTCAAATTAAAATATAATCTAGAGGTGAATCCCAAGATATGGAAGGATGGTTTCCCATTTCTGGAAAAGAATAAGAGGACACATACCCTACATGGAGGTAGGGCGTCCCCTCAGAGGCTATTTCCATGTAAACCTACCTATGGGACATGTCCTCCTGTCCCTATCCATAGTGACCCGAGACTGAGAGGTGTCCTTCCTGGTATGCCCTTGAGCCCACGCGCTTGTCAGGAGCCCTTCCCTTTTATCTTCCTCTACCTCCAGGTCGACCAGTGGGTGTATATTTTGTTGCCCATGATGAGTCTCATGGGCATGCATTCCCCTGAATGCCTGCCTTATAACTGGACATCTCTGAATCCCACTGTCCCTATAAATAAATGGCCCACAATATTTAGTGGATGAGCAGAGCCTCCAATGTTAGAGGTCATGGAAACTTGGGTCTCCTGTCTTCTTAGAGGGAAACTTTAGGTGTCCCCTAATTTGCACTTAGTCTAGGTAGAACTGAACTGCAGTTTCCCCATGATTTCCCTTAGGTTCTACCTTGTGACTTTGGTGGAAATGAGTAATAGAATAGGCGATTAGTGAGAAAACTGGTATCATGGGATCCCAGGTCAAGGTGGAAAGGGGTTATATCCCATGAAACAGGCAACAGACTGGGTGAGAACAGAGCTTACTCCTTTAGCAAGTTCCACACCAAAATGTTATTGGTACCCATGGGGTGGTCCAGATGTTCCTTGGTTCTTGGGCACAAGGCCCAAGATTAGGATTTGCCCCAGGTGCAGCGAAAGAGCCACAAAGAGTAAGAAGAGAGCAAAGAGTAATTTTTATTAGGAAAGCTGGATTACACCTGAGGGGTGAGGTGGGCAGCTCAGATAAAGAGTGATTGCAAGAAATGGCTTGGGGTTTGTTTCATCCAATAGGATGAAGTTACTAGGTGGCCTGACACTGAGGCCCTCCTCTTGTGGCCCTTTCCACGTGGTTTGGCCACTGTGCAGAGACTGCCTGGGTGTGGGAAGGAATATGCATATGGGCACTTGTTCTTCTTTGCCCCTCCCATTTTGGCCTTCCATCTTTAACTTCATTATGGGGAGCACACTCCATAAGGAGGACATAGGACCATTATCTTAATCACAGGCCCAGGGTGTCAGCCATTATGTCAATTATTTGTCCAGTATATAAGCCACCTGACTGTTTTAGAATGGAGTCTTATAGCCCCAGGGCATTCCTCCCACTCTCCTGTTCTTGTGTTCCTATCTACCTATGGTAACTATTACCAACACATTGCACACAAGCACACACAAACACACACACACACATACACACACGCATGCACAAGTACCACTCCACTAGAATTCTCTACATATGACTTTTCTATGCAACATGCTCAAAACACATTTGGACATTCATATATCCATAAATAGCTTGAAACAAAACATTGCTATTTCTGTTGGAAAATAATCACAACTGCAGAATTCCCTGACACTGAGATCACTACTTGCCAGGCTTGCTGTTCATCCTTGCAATGTATGTTTTTATATTTCTGCTACATATGTCAGTAAGCAACATCTAACCTATTTTTCTCCTACTTTGTTT